ATAAGAGAAATATACAGTATGTAGTAGACATGATAGAGGAAAAATGAATTGGTTAGAAAAGCGGGGTCCAAGAGCTAATAGTTTGATTCTGAAGATACAAATAGTAAACACACACAAGTTCTTACATTGATGCAAATTCAAAAACTTACATTCATAAACTGATTGTGCATTTATAACTTAGTTTACACAAATTTCAAATACATTATTCATTTATATGTCAATTCTTCTTGTTCAGATTTGTGGGATGGGTGTCTTTACATAATATAATTTATATTTTAAAAACTCTGCATGATAGCTGAAACCAATTTTTTTTTTCTATAATCCTTCCGCTGTGACTTATGCTCAAGACTGCTACATGTATGGACCACAGTTGTGAACACTTAACGCATCTGGAACACTCCATAAAGTCTGCAATGTTTGGGTGGGAGTGCGACCATCAGAGGTCTCTAGGGATAGAGTTGGCTTTGATTGGATAAATTTCAGGAGTAATGCCCACTAACCTTGGTAAGGGAAACATGTCACTCTCCTCTCTTGCCCTGCCAGAGCTGGCAACTTTGTTTATTAGGTATGAGATACATGCGCGCATATATATATATATATATATATATATATATATATATATATATATATATATATATATATATATATATATATATATATATATATATGTATATATATATATATATATATACATATATATATATATATATATATATATATATATATATATACATATATATATATATACATATATACATATATATATATATATATATATATATATATATACATATATATATATATATATATATATATATATATATATATATATATATATATATATATATATATATATATATATATATATATATATATATATATACATATATACATATATATATATATGTCGTACCTAGTAGCCAGAACTCACTTCTCAGCCTACTATTCAAGGCCCGATTTGCCTAATAAGCCAAGTTTTCCTGAATTAATATATTTACTATAATTTTTTTCTTATGAAATGATAAAGCAACCCTTTTCTCTATGTATGAGGTCAATTTTTTTTATTGGAGTTAAAATTAACGTAGATATATGACCGAACCTAACCAACCCTACCTAACCTAACCTAACCTATATTTATAGGTAAGGTTAGGTTAGGTAGCCAAAAAAAGGTAGGTTAGGTTAGGTTAGGTAGGTTAGGTAGACGAAAAAACATTAATTCATGAAAACTTGGCTTATTAGGCAAATCGGGCCTTGAATAGTAGGCTGAGAAGTGCGTTCTGGCTATTAGGTACGACATATATATATATATATATATATATATATATATATATATATATATATATATATATATATATATATATATATATATATATATATATATATATATATATATATATATATATATATATATTTTTTTTTTTTTTCTTTACTCTTTCATATGTACAAGATATCTTGTCTCTTATTTCCTATGGTGTAAAACTTGGCCCACTTGCATAGCGAGCCTCCTCATATACACAGTACCTAACCTTATACTGCTTTAATTTAGGTTTAGAATACTGGATGGGGCATACAGTGTTGCATAGGTAAAAAACAGAGGCCACATCTAAAATAAGTACAAACACCCTTCAGCACTATACTGTAATCCTCTACAGTACACATGATCATCATCCCTGAGCCATCTTCAATACATCATCCCATCCTCCTGTCTTGGTAGTACTTATAGTAACAATTACCATAGTATGTATACCGACGTACAACAAAATTAGAAAGTAGAAATCTGAACTTTTGAGTTGGACAAACCGGAAAATTATTTTTTTGTGTTGCTTTAACAAATTAAACTAACCTAACCTTCCTAGGGCTAATACACAATATCTGAGGCCTAATATAGTACATGTGTGTGCTATACTAGGCCTAAGAAAAATTAAGTTTTTTTTTTAGTTTCATTTATTTTAAAAGACTTCCTTACTAGTCAGTACAGTATAATAGATGGTATGCCATCTAAAAGCTAAGCACGTACAAATTCCTGAGTATTGACGACCGTCACAATAGGTACTATCTAAACAGGAGGATGGGTTGCACTATATACAATCTTCATCACTGTAACCAAAATGTTACACCATTTAAGTGTTGTGAACCTCCAGAATGCAAATCTTTCATGAAAACATGCAATTTACAAGTCAAAATCTGAATACAGTAATATTAACAAATGCTAAAACTCTGGACTTGGGGCTGAACATTTTATTTCCACCAAATTCATGAAGGTGATGGGGACACAGGGTTGAGCTCCTTTCATGGGAAACCTGGGGCCAGATTCACGAAGCAGTTACGCAAGTACTTACGAACGTGTACATCTTTCTTCAATCTTTGACGGCTTTGGTTACATTTATTAAATAGTTTAAAAGAATGAAACTTGCCAATCAACTGTTGTTATTGTTATAAACATCCTCCTGGTGCTTCAAAGTTCCTCAACTATTTAATAATTGTAAACAAAGCCGCCAAAGATTGACAAAAGATGTACAGTTTTGTAAGTGTTTGCGTAACTTCTTCGTGAATGTAGCCCCCCCGGGGCTGACCCAGACACCTCTATGCCAGTCCCCAGACCCCCACCAATCTTTGTGCAAAGCATAATAAGGCTAGCCCCAAGTATAAGGCCTCTAAGCCTCGACAGATAGACATCCTCTTTTATATAAGATATAATTATAGCACCATCTTCTGGGGCAAGATTGATCATACTATAATGTTGGTAACACTTAACTAAGTAATATAATTTTTAATGCAAAAGTATTTTTTAATCTTTGGAAGATTATAAAGTATAATTATTATTTTCAAATTAAAATAACTTTTCTAATTATCAAATGGTCCTAATTTCAACACATGGTCCCACTTTCCCCACAATATGGTACAACAATGTCTTTAAATTGCAAGAACACAACAAATATTATGATTTGGTAGTGTGGCTGAGCTCCATGTGCATCCCACAACCGAGTGTTGACTAGTACCAATGAATAATTTAACACACCTCTACACCTGCCAAGCATCTTGGCATACTTATATTGCTTAAATTGGCTACACGTAAAATTTCACACGCATTAAATCTTATTGGTTTTGTTATAGCCATAATAATCTGATTAATACAATGCACAAAGAACCTAGAAAATTACTGAGATATGTAACGAATAACATTTTGTACAATGATGCCTACAGCTTTGGAACACTTTTATATATACAAAAATAAAAAACTGCCACAATAAGTCTTCAATACTCACATTCATCCATTACAAATAATTGAGTTTGCTGTTGCAATACAAGACGTGCAACAATCAAATCAATCTAGCAAAAGTAGGTGCTATCTTTCATTAATTCTGACATTTTGTTAGGTTCAAGAGTTCTTCTATAGGAGATGACTACACATATATCAAAAAGATGATATTATTCTATCTTTCATTTATGGGTGTCTCCCACTCACATAAAGGTTAGAACTGTCCACAGCCTCATCTTGACAATAAAGGTGAGCTCTAAATAAACAACAGTCCCCCAACCGCTTCCACATCGCCAGGTGGCTGAGTGGACAGCACTCTGGAGTAATGCCCCTAGCATAGAGCTAGGGACTGGGGATTGATCCCCAGCGATGGCAGAAATAAATGGGCAAAGTTTCTTTCACCTTGATGCTTTTGTTACCTAGCAGTAAATAGGTACCTGGGAGTTAAGACAGCTATTATGGGCTACTTCCTGGGAAGGGGGGGGGGAAGGTGTTGGAGGGGGAAAAAAAGTGGATTGATTGACAGTTGAGAGGCGGGCCAAAGGCGCCAGAGCTCAACCCCCGCAAGCATAACTGGGTGAATACAGGTAGGTGAATACATCAAAGCTATAAAAATAAAGCCTCATATTTAATGTTTCAGAGATCAGCATACTGTACTGCATAAATCCAGGAAATCATATTAATATTAATCTACACAAAATGTAGTGATAAGCATTACAGATTTAACATTTCTAAACAAAATCCTTCTTTTCTACGATAATGAGCAAAGACAGTGCAGAGGCAACTGAAAACAAAATAATTATTAATTCAAATTACTGCCCAAATCTAGTACATGGTGGCACCAATTTATCTTAATAATTGAGTCATATATAGAAAACATTATCCAATTCATATGTTAATGCAATCATCTTGAATGACTTGATCTAAAACATGCCTCTTGTATATTCATATAAAAATGAACAAATACTAACACAGCTTTAAAACTGAACCTAATCTGAAACTTGTTATTGGCAAAACCTTTTAAGAATGAAAAAACTAAAATCCTGTGCATGACTTGATAACAATTTTCTCTCCTCTGGTAACACCAACAGACATTCAGGATATTAAGTCCCTGAAGACTCATTAAAGAAGGCATGCCGATGAAAAACATGCAACAGAACTATTGTGACTGCAATGGCTAATGTGACTTGCGAGCCAAGCAATGCCACTACTACCCAAGAGAGGGAAGAGAGGAGTCTGTTAGTGTAGACCAGGATACTGTTAGTAGTCATGCACATCTTGCAGTATGGGGAGAAGCTGCAGCCCGCTAGCCCACCAGGCTCATGCTACACAACACTGTTACTATCACCAACACTCACCTATGATACTTTCCAGCCACAACTTCCTCTTTGTCATCTTTTAACTTATTTCTAAGGTTTGTGGATATAAATACCTTGAAATAAGGATAATAAAAAAAAATGACCAAACAAGAGTCCCAGATATCTAGTATTCCAGTAAATTGGTGCTTGAATAATAACAATGCTTGAAAAGCCACTTGGACAATCCAAGCAACTATGGTAAGTGCAAAGCCAATTTGCAAATACAAGCTGCATTCTGATTGGGCAAAACGCATAAGCAGGCGGGTTTATTACCCAATAAAAATACAGCTTAGCACAAGCAAAATGGGAAAAGAGGGCCATCAAAGTTGGGTAGAGAGGCAAGTGAGGGAGGGTTAGTGGCAGCCCGAGGCATACACACACACCTTGGTCGTGACCTGATACACCGCATCGCTCAGCGTCTGCAACGTCTGCAAGTTAGGAATGGTCACACATCAAATTTTCAACCCTTACTTGTTTTTAAAAGCCATATTGAAATTTAAGACAAATAACTCAAAACATATAGGAAAATGACCCTTTATAATTAACTTTTTCTTACCATTGCCAAAGCAGAACAAAAGAAAAATGAACAAGCACCACTGACACTGTCAGGAACACATGACTAACTATAAAAGTAAACAACTTGCTAGTCTCAATAAATGAAGTAAACTACAACTACCTAAAACTACTCACACTGATTTTCTTGAGTTTTGAAACAAGGGAATTAAAAAGAATACAGTACTGTATCTTTATTACCCAATCCCCAAAATATAACAATAAAATTACATATGTAGTTTATATGTATTTACAAAAAAATAAGGGACACCTTTGGATTTATTCCCACTGTTATAAGCATAACAGTGGGAATAAAATGGGAAGCCTCCACATTAAACTTTGTAATGGTTTCCTTATTATCACACAAGTGACTGGGCCACACAAAGTGACAATAAGGGGGCATGTTTGTTAAGTGCTCACACTGTAATGGTGTCACCATTCTGGCATATCTACCACACAATCCTCTTATTTGTAATTTCTACGACCATTTACTTTCCTCATTGTGCTTTATAATTTACAATAATTTGGTTTAAGTTTGTCACTCAATTCAATGGTTTTTCAAATATAATAAAAATACCAAACAGAAAAGCTCATATAAGCAGTAAACTTAAAACCCTAAACCAATTAAAACACGTTAGATATGCATTACATGTGCAGCGTCTGGCTGGAGAAATGTGACAATATTCTACTTAAAGGAATACAATAATGTACATCTGAAAGCTTTACATAAAATCAGAGGCACAAGTTAATCAAAACTAATGCCTCCGAAAATTGCAAAGGCATTAGCTATACAAAAGCCCAGTGTGAGACCCTGTCATGACCCCAGTAAAGCCTCCACCTTGATGCACACAGAAAAACCATTTGAATTCGATAGAACTAACAATTAATCAAAATTTAGCTTCATTTGTTTTTCTTTAAGCTGTATTTTCAATGATACAAGTAGGTTTTGGTTGACTTTAATACCATGTGACACGCGAATAAAACCTTTGACAAAATATAAAATGCCCACATCACCATCATGTATTATCCACCTTGAGATAACAAACAAATTTGGAAGCCAGGTGGTGAGAAGGAGTCCACAACAACCCTGAGACAGTGCAAACTTCACTGTTGTAACAAACACCCCTCCTTGCAGTGATCACGTGACAAGGTCATGTAACTGCTTCACCTGCAGACAGCTCATCATTTACCATGCTGACTCATGCTGCCTCCCTCACTCTTATTGGATTCCATTAAACTGTCTGGCACACACTCATGCACATTGAGAAGAGATACCAAGTATTCTTTAGCATTTATTCTTCTATAAAATTAATGATTACATGCAAAATCAATTTTAAATAAAAATGTAAAAAGATATAAATTAAAACAAACCAAGATAACCTTAATTAGCATAACAGTCCACATCCCACCTTTATAATCAAAGCCAAACATTTTAAGGAGCGAGAACATTCTCTAATCCTCTCCTGGTGCTCACCTTCAGTGTCTGGCTGGCCTTGGGTCTGGGTTTGGTTGGAGGAGGAGGAAATTTAGCCCGTCGGCCAGTGGTAAAGGCCTGAGGATATCCCTCGCCCCAGAAGTCCTCCAGCCGCCGGGAGCACAGGCTGTCATCCTGCCAGCCTGATAGTAACAGATACACTATTAATAATAGTAATAGAAATATGTAGAAACCAATATACCCTATTAATACTAATTAACATAAATGTGTAGCAACATACACACAATTAATAATAATATAAACATATATCAACCAGATTCACTATTTATACTAGTTCATGGAAATATGTAGCTGAAGAGATCTGAATGATACTGAATAAATAGAGTAAAGTATATAAGTTAACATTGTTTAATAAATTTGTCAGAAAAGCTAAATGGTTTTAGTATTAGAAGGTGACATGTTGCTTGAAGGGTTTCAAACAGAGGATGTGCTTGGCTTACACATGTCCAAGACCCGTATCAAGCACTAATAAAATATTGCGCATGCAACTCAGCAACAGTAATACAGTACAGTAATGCTGGCTAACAAAAACAAATAAACTTTACACAGAGTACAAAACCTGCTACAAGTTGGAGAGAAAACAACAATCCATGGCTGGATGACCTTTAGTGACTACAAGAAGCAGCAGCAGCAGCATTGTCATGAAGGTATTAACACACACTTAGCTGATAGTTGTCACTGGCAACTCATTCTTATCAACATTATTGCAACACAAGTAACTAGTTAACCTCAGATACTTGTAAAACAACCCTAATAACCCTCCCTCGGTTACCTCAAGGTGCCAACATTTGACGATCTTAATTCAGAAACACTAATCAACTATAAATAACCATCGTCTAACATTTTCAAAGGAGTAATAATGACTAATTTCCCTTCAAAGGTTGGGATAACATTCACATCAAATACACAGAAAAGAATATAAATCTTTACAAACACCAGATGTTAAATACTTACAAAATTAAATGTGATGGATAATACATGTTTTACATAGTGATACAGAAAATGCTAAGTGTGGGGAGTGAGAATGTACGTCACAGGTAAATGATGGGTGAGCATGCACGTCACAAGTGAGTGACAGGTGAGCATGCACGTCACATGTGACGGGTGAGCATGCACGTCACATGTGACGGGTGAGCATGCACGTCACATGTGACGGGTGAGCATGCACGTCACATGTGACGGGTGAGCATGCACGTCACATGTGACGGGTGAGCATGCACGTCACATGTGACGGGTGAGCATCACAAGTGAAGGGTTGTGTCACTAGTGAAGGGTGTGCATGCACATCACAAGAGAAAGGTGCAAGTTACAAGTGAAGGGTGTGAATGCATGTGTCAAGTAATGAGTGAGCATGTGCATCACAAGTGAGTGAAAGGTGTACACGAACATCATTATGCACTTTAAGTTGTAGGAATAAAACTGTATTTGCGAACAATTATATATACTTTCCATTGAATTTTCTACACTGTTTATACAGTTCAATATAATAATTTTAAATGAAGGGATCTTTATCTAAAACTTTCTTATTTGTGTGTGCCTATATGATTATTTCTTTGTTGTTTATAGAACAGAGTTAAAACTCATAGTGTTCCATTTTGCTTTTAATCCATCATATTGATGTTTAATTTGATTAATATTTTTGAACACCACCTTATTTTGCAGTGCATTCAAACAGCCACAACTCGTAAAAACCAGCGTTGAATGTAACGAAATGCCATTTATGTACTGGGTGAGCCCCAGAGGCTTCCTGAAGCTATCTGAACTGATATGTGCTATATTAGTTTGAGGTCATCAGTCACAGGAGTTCTTATGCCTACTGGGAACTACGAGCCAGAACCTGGTAGCATCAAAGAGGCACAGGGAGTAATAGCCTATGGGTACTTCACATTTAAAGTACAGTATGTATATCAAAATTGCCATTGACCGGGGAAAAGACCCAGAAAGGTAGGCGAATCAAAACAGACCACTGTCTGGTTAACCTGTGCAATCTACATCCCAAAAGATCAAAATAACTCTCCTAAAAAGAAACCAAACAAGCAACCCTTCATGCGACTAGCACTTCTACTCAGTAGCGCTAAAAAGTAGACGGAGAAGAGGGAGCCGGCAGCCTTCGACTCCAGTTCTTGAACGATGAAAAAACGCCGAGCGGGGGGAGGGAGGGTGTCAGGGAGCCTCTGGGGCTCACCCAGAAAATGGCGTTTCATTACATTCAATGCTGGTTTTCTGTGGGGAGCCCTGTCTGCTCCCTGAAGCTAACTCCACGAAGAAAAGTAAAAGGAGTAACTTACTTGGGAGGCGGCAGCACTGCAGACCTCAAAGGCGAAGAAAAGACAGAAGGCCGTGACTGACACTCCAAAGCCACACATAGCCGAGAAAGAACTGAAACGTTCACGAGATACCTGGCAGCCAGGACCTTGTTCGACCTCCAAAGGACGGCCCTTTAGAGGTCGAACGTAAGGACAGCCCCCCAACAATCCTGACCAGACTGATGAGCACTGGTCACAAAGACCCAACCGAGAGACGAAGTATCCGTGAACACACTAAGCGAGAGAAGAGAAAGCTGGCAACGCAGCAACCAATGCAAGAAGGAGAATAGAGCATGCAACGCAGCCGCTGCCTGATTCCCGAGATCAACAGAGAAGGAATGAGAAAACTGAAGCACAGATGATCGTCACCCTGAGGCAGGGGTGACTAGCAACCTTCAACTTCTCACAAGGCGAGAGTGGACTCTGAAGAAGTATCCATAGTACCACCAAGCCCACAGGGGTTTTCCAGGGACTGTAGGATAAATAAGCCCTACGGGAAGCTCAGGCACAAGGGCCAGCTAAGCCAGTAGAATCCCTGTTTAGTAGCAGGCAAACTGACTACCAGTAGCAGCATACTCAGGGGGAAACAGAGACAGACCACCACTGTCCACAAAAAGAAAAAACACAGGAATAAAAAACTAAAAGCCCCCGAAGAAACACAACAAACAAACTGGCAGCCAGAGAGAAGCATTGGCTGCCGCATTGTAGTAAAGCACTGCGGCCCCCACCCAGCAAATAACACTCCCCTACCCGGGGCAAAATGAAAAGACCAAGACCCCCGACATACCCTAAGGGCGAAGACAACCTCAAGCGATGAAGTCCTCTAACAGGGAGTGATTCCTGAATGCCCCAGGGAAGATAACCCTGAAAAGCACGAGTAAAGTTCTTACGAAGCACCTACGGAAGATCACCCTAGGCGCATGCTGCTCTATGTACAAGATGACACCAGGCCAACACCCACATACACACTGCTGGTAAAGCCTCACAAGGCAAAATCCAGAACTGGAACTTGAGGCCAGAGGTAACCAAACTGACCACCAGCACATCTGTTCAAGAACTGAAGTGGTGGGCTCCCCATCCCTGGCAGGGATAAGGGTTTAAGAAAGACCATAAAAGAAAAGTTTTCCTTTATGAGTCTCTCCCGCAATTTGCATACTACATGTGTTAAACAAATTGGCCAGTAGCTGAATAAATGTTTACTTTTCTAAATGCTGGTATTAGGTAGGTCATCTCCTATACTAATGTTTTTTTATTCTCCTTCCCTCAAGCATTTAATATAGACTGCACAGAGATGATAGCTTAATTCAATAGTACACAATAGATGTAGCACAATATTTCCGGCTAATGTCCTTAAGGCTGGTTACATAATTTGCCTACTTTGCATCAGTACCTCGTGTGCGCTTCTGCATGTAGGTGAAACATTTCTATAATAAAAATAACAACCAGCCATGCTAAAACTTTGGCTCAACCAGCCATACTTTGTCAATAAACTTTATAATAGAAGAGTTTTAAAATACATAAAGATTAAAATAAATTTATTGCCTCAGCCTGGACACAGTAAAAATGGCCTAATTGTAGGTTATGACTCTTCCTGCTGATTTATTAATGAGATAAATTCAAGGAATGCATAGAAGGGAAATATAATCCAAGGGAGAAGGAATATAGTTTAAGTAACAAAAACCAATTAAGACCTGAAAATACAAGCATGAGTTATGGTGCAATTAGAATAAAAAACAAGGGATTAAGGAAAACATTTAGTAAACTCTCAATTATCGGGATAGGTTGGGATCCAACCCACACTTTAGTGTAGCATAACTATACACACTATGAAGCCAAATTTGGCACTAATAATAATGAAGTGTACTAAACAAAACCTCGACACAGTAGTGAAGCGAACCATCAAGATGCTCACGAAGCGTCTGCATACTGAGTTAAAATACAGTACAGTACAGTGCTAGAACAAGCTTTGTTTGCATGTTTATGACCATCCACAGCACTTACAGTCAACCACTTATGTACAGTATGCTACTGAAGCAAGTTACAGACACCAACAAGTTAACAGCTGAAACAGCATGCAGAAGTATGATAATAAAAATAATAAAAGGCTGAATAAAAATATGGCATTCATGTAAGATAATACAAATAAAAATGCATGCTTATCACATTTTTTGTTTATTTTTTTTTTTTTTTGGTTACAAATATGCAGGTTCAGAATTATGTGAACAAAAGGAGCAGGCAGCACAAACATATTACACGTGATTGTCGAGGTTCAACATACACCGACGCCCTTGTGAGGTGCAGTGAAGAGGAACATCAACACTCACAAAGTAATGGTAAAACTGGTCATTTGGATACTAGTTGCAGTAGTACATTATAAGAAACACAATACTGCAAAGTAAATTATAATAATCCTTAGATACAACTTCCGCTATGGAAAACTACTTGACAAAGAAGCTTGAAACGGCATTCTTAAGAGAAGAGTTATATGGCAAAAGATAATACGGAAAATAAATCTGAAGTGTTCTATCAAACTGCAGGACGAGCTCACGACAACTTGCATAAAAGACACGCAGTTATGCCTGAAGAAGAGAGAATTCGGGGTGGGAAGACAAGAGGATAAGTAAACAATGGGAGGAAAAAAAAAAGAAACACCTAGATCGTGAGACAAGAATCACCTGAGTCGCGTGTGGTGAGGGAGTCGCGCGAGCCGCTCAGGTCAGCTAGTGAACAGAGAAACACCGTGAGGCCAGTAGATTACATGACACTTTTAATAGGCCCAAACCACTAACTATTCCATAAAGCTCTCAACCACTCTT